ATAGTGTGTCTAGGATGTGTATAGTGAGTCCAGGATGTGTATAGTGTGTCTAGGGTGTGTGTAGTGTGTGTAGTGTGTCTAGGGTGTGTATAGTGTTTCTAGGGTGTGTGTAGTGTGTCTAGGGTGTGTATAGTGTGTCTAGGGTGTGTATAGTGTGTCTAGGGTGTGTATGGTGTGCTTAGGGTGTGTATAGTGTGCCTAGGGTGTGTATAGTGTGTCTAGGATGTCTGTAATGTGTCTAGGATGTGTATAGTGTGTCTAGGGTGTGTGTAGTGTGTCTAGAGTGTGTATAGTGTGTCTAGGGTGTGTATAGTGTGTCTAGGGTGTGCCTAGGGTGTGTATAGTGTGCCTAGGGTGTGTATAGTGTGTCTAGGATGTGTGTAGTGTGTCTAGGATGTGTATAGTGTGTCTAGAATGTGTGTAGTGTGTCTAGGATGTGTATAGTGTGTCTAGGATGTGTATATTGTGTCTAGGGTGTGTATAGTGTGTCTAGGATGTGTATAGTGTGTCTAGGGTGTGCATAGTGTGTCTAGGATGTGTATAGTGTGTCTAGGATGTGTATAGTGTGTCTAGGGTGTGTATAGTGTGTCTAGGGTGTGTATAGTGTGTCTAGGGTGTGTATAGTGTGTCTAGGATGTGTATAGTGTGTCTAGGATGTGTATAGTGTGTCTAGGATGTGTATAGTGTGTCTAGGATGTGTATAGTGTGTCTAGGATATGTATAGTGTGCCTAGGGTGTGTATAGTGTGCCTAGGGTGTGTATTGTTTGCTTAGGGTGTGTATAGTGTGCCTAGGGTGTGTATAGTGTATCTAGGATGTGTATAGTGTGCCTAGGATGTGTATAGTGTGGCTAGGGTGTGTATAGTGTGTCTAGGGTGTGTATAGTGTGCCTAGGATGTGTATAGTGTGTCTAGGGTGTGTGTAGTGTTTCTAGTGTGTGTGTAATGTGTCTAGGGTGTGTGTATAGTGTGTCTACGATGTGTATAGTGTGTCTAGGGTGTGTATAGTGTGTCTAGGTTGTGTATAGTGTGTCTAGGATGTGTATAGTGTGCCTAGGGTGTGTATAGTGTGCCTAGGGTGTGTATAGTGTGCCTAGGGTGTGTATAGTGTGCCTAGGGTGTGTATAGTGTGTCTAGGGTGTGTTTATTGTGTCTAGGATGTGTATAGTGTGTCTAGGGTGTGTATGGTGTGTCTAGGATGTGTATAGTGTGTCTATGATGTGTATAGTGTGTCTAGGGTGTGTATAGTGTGTCTAGGGTTTGTGTGTAGTGTGTCTAGGGTGTGTATAGTGTGTCTAGGGTGTGTATAGTGTGTCTAGGGTGTGTATAGTGTGTCTAGGGTGTGTGTGTAGTGTGTCTAGGGTGTGTATAGTGTGTCTAGGGTGTGTGTAGTGTGTCTAGGATGTGTATAGTGTGTCTAGGATGTGTATAGTGTGCCTAGGATGTGTATAGTGTGTCTAGGATGTGTATAGTGTGTCTAGGATGTGTATAGTGTGTCTAGGATGTGTATAGTGTGTCTAGGATGTGTATAGTGTGTCTAGGATGTGTATAGTGTGTCTAGGATGTGTATAGTGTGCCTAGGATGTGTATAGTGTGTCTAGGATGTGTATAGTGTGTCTAGGATGTGTATAGTGTGTCTAGGATGTGTATAGTGTGTCTAGGATGTGTATAGTGTGTCTAGGATGTGTATAGTGTGTCTAGGGTGTGTATAGGGTGTCTAGGGTGTGTATAGTGTGTCTAGGGTGTGTATAGTGTGTCTAGGATGTGTATAGTGTGTCTAGGGTGTGTGTAGTGTGTCTAGGGTGTGTATAGTGTGTCTAGGGTGTGTATAGTGTGTCTAGGGTGTCTAGGGTGTGTATAGTGTTTCTAGTGTGTGTGTAATGTGTCTAGGGTGTGTGTATAGTGTGTCTACGTTGTGTATAGTGTGTCTAGGGTGTGTATAGTGTGTCTAGGTTGTGTATAGTGTGTCTACGGTGTGTATAGTGTGCCTAGGCTGTGTATAGTGTTTCTAGTGTGTGTGTAATGTGTCTAGAGTGTGTGTATAGTGTGTCTAGGGTGTGTGTAGTGTGTCTAGGGTGTGTATAGTGTGTCTAGGGTGTGTATAGTGTGTCTAGGATGTGTATAGTGTGCCTAGGGTGTGTATAGTGTTTCTAGTGTGTGTGTAATGTGTCTAGAGTGTGTGTATAGTGTGTCTAGGGTGTGTGTAGTGTGTCTAGGGTGTGTATAGTGTGTCTAGGGTGTGTATAGTGTGTCTAGGATGTGTATAGTGTGCCTAGGGTGTGTATAGTGTTTCTAGTGTGTGTGTAATGTGTCTAGGGTGTGTGTATAGTGTGTCTAGGGTGTGTGTAGTGTGTCTAGGGTGTGTATAGTGTGTCTAGGGTGTGTATAGTGTGTCTAGGGTGTGTATAGTGTGTCTAGTATGTGTATAGTGTGCCTAGGGTGTGTATAGTGTGCCTAGGGTGTGTATAGTGTGTCTAGGATGTGTATAGTGTGTCTAGGGTGTGTATAAATAAATAAATAAATAAATATGTTTATTCAGGTAAGGTACATACATACAAGTGATGTTACATTAATGGATTGATATATAGATAGAGCTAGTACATACAATGCCTAAAGCCACTATTACGCAATGCGTTTCGGGCAAGAAAAACATTAATATCTAGAACTTAATACTAATTGAGCATAAAGAATAAAAAGTGTTGAAAACAAATACAAATAAAGATAAAAAAAGGGGGAACATGACTGAAAAAGCAGCACAAATACAATAGGTTGACAAACAGTGTTGATTAAAAAAAAATATAATAATAATAAAATAAAATAACAGACATGGGTTGACAATAAAGGAGTGAGGTGGGTTACAGGGAATTTATTAGGTATTGTTTAGTTTTTATCTTAAACTGGTTGAGAGAGGTACAGTCTTTAACATGGTTGGGAAGGTCATTCCACATTCTGGGTCCCTTGATTTGTAGAGCATTTCTAGTTTGATTAAGTCGTACTCTAGGAATATCAAAACTGTATTTATTCCTGGTGTGGTGCTCATGGGTTCTGTTACAACCTTCAATGAAGCTTTTGAGGTCAGGATTGGCATTACAGTTCAGCGTTTTATATATGTATAATACACAAGAGAGAATGTGCAGTGACTTAATATCTAACATATTCAGAGATTTGAGTAAGGGTACCGAGTGATGTCTGGGGCCAGAGTTGGTTATTGTCCTAATAGCAGCTTTGTGTTGGGTAATGAGAGGACGTAAATGATTTTGGGTAGTAGAACCCCAAGCACAAATACCATAGTTGAGGTATGGATAGATGAGGGAGTAATAGAGAGTAACCAGAGCAGGGCGGGGTACATAATATCTGATCTTAGAAAGAATGCCAACAGTTTTTGAAACTTTTTTTGATATATTTAGAATGTGACCCTGGAAATTCAGCTTGTGGTCGATGAGAACGCCAAGGAATTTGCCATCTAATTTGTTACAAATTTGGGTATTGTTTATTTTGAGATTTATCTGATTAGAGGATTTATTGCCAAACAGAATATAAAACGTTTTGTCAATGTTAAGGGTGAGTTTGTTGGCAGGGTGAGTTTGTTGTATAGTGTGCCTAGGGCGTGTATAGTGTGCCTAGGGTGTGTATAGTGTGTCTAGGGTGTGTATAGTGTGCCTAGGGTGTGTATAGTGTGCCTAGGGTGTGTATAGTGTGTCTAGGGTGTGTATAGTGTGCCTAGGGTGTGTATAGTGTGCCTAGGGTGTGTGTAGTGTGTCTAGGGTGTGTATAGTGTGTCTAGGATGTGTATAGTGTGTCTAGGGTGTGTATAGTGTGTCTAGGATGTGTATAGTGTGTCTAGGATGTATATAGTGTGTCTAGGATGTGTATAGTGTGTCTAGGGTGTGTATAGTGTGCCTAGGGTGTGTATAGTGTGCCTAGGGTGTGTATAGTGTGTCTAGGGTGTGTATAGTGTGTCTAGAATGTGTATAGTGTGTCTAGGATGTGTATAGTGTGTCTAGGGTGTGTATAGTGTGCCTAGGGTGTGTATAGTGTGTCTAGGGTGTGTATAGTGTGTCTAGGATGTGTATAGTGTGTCTAGGATGTGTATAGTGTGTCTAGGGTGTGTATAGTGTGTCCAGGGTGCGTATAGTGTGCCTAGGATGTGTATAGTGTGTCTAGGGTGTGTATAGTGTTCCTAGGGTGTGTATAGTGTGCCTAGGGTGTGTATAGTGTGCCTAGGGTGTGTATAGTGTGTCTAGGATGTGTATAGTGTGTCTAGGATGTGTATAGTGTGTCTAGGGTGTGTATAGTGTGCCTAGGGTGTGTATAGTGTGTCTAGGGTGTGTATAGTGTGTCCAGGGTGTGTATATTGTGCCTAGGATGTGTATAGTGTGTCTAGGGTGTGTATAGTGTTCCTAGGGTGTGTATAGTGTGCCTAGGGTGTGTATAGTGTGTCTAGGGTGTGTATAGTGTTCCTAGGGTGTGTATAGTGTTCCTAGGGTGTGTATAGTGTGCCTAGGGTGTGTATAGTGTGTCTAGGGTGTGCATAGTGTGCCTAGGGTGTGTATAGTGTGCCTATGGTGTGTATATTGTGCCTAGGGTGTGTGTAGTGTGCCTAGGGTGTGTATAGTGTGCCTATGGTGTGTGTAGTGTGCCTAGGGTGTGTATAGTGTGCCTAGGGTGTGTGTAGTGTGCCTAGGGTGGGTATAGTGTGCCTAGGGTGTGTGTAGTGTGCCTAGGGTGTGTGTAGTGTGCCTAGGGTGTGTGTAGTGTGCCTAGGGTGTGTATAGTGTGCCTAGGGTGTGTGTAGTGTGCCTAGGGTGGGTATAGTGTGCCTAGGGTGTGTGTAGTGTGCCTAGGGTGGGTATAGTGTGCCTAGGGTGTGTGTAGTGTGCCTAGGGTGTGTATAGTATGCCTAGGGTGTGTGTAGTGTCTGTATGGACACAGTATTAATTAAGTGTTGTTGCATGTTTGTAATTGTTGAGGTTGTAAAGTTGTGATGGTGACTGTGTTCCAGGGGTGAGCTTTGGCGGGACGATGGTGGTGGTTACGTCAGTGTGGCAGGTTGTGGTGACGCTGTTAGGCCTGGTGCTCCTGCCGCAGCCTGCCGCCGCCCTGCCGCAGCCTGCCGCCGCCACCTTGAGGACCAACAGGACGGGGCCGCAGGACTCCACCACCAGCGGCCACAGGTTCTCACAGGCGCACTTTAGGTTCTCGCTTGACCTCTACGGCGCCCTGGTCAACCGTTCCCGCCAACCCAACGCTAACATGCTCTTCAGCCCTGTGGGCGTGGCCGCCCTCCTCTCTCCTCTCCTGCACGCCCACAACCCGCTCCTCACTCAGCAGATACGTCAGGTGGGTCAGCACATCTCACACGCTTCCTGCACTAGTGAGTATCACTCTGGTCGCGTTAAGTTAAACCATGTCAAGATCGTCAGGGTTCCGACAGCACTTACAATGTGCCTCGTATCTCCAACATGGCGGCTTAGTCTCTATAATTGTTATAGGTTGTTATTATTTGTAAGGTGATACATATTTACTCTTGGAGACAACCTCGGAGTTCCTGGGCCTTCCTGGGCCTTCCTGGGCCTTCTGGGCCTTCCTGGGCCTTCCTGGGCCTTCCTGGGCCTTCCTGGGCCTTCTGGGCTTTCCTGGGCCTTCCTGTGCCTTCCTTGGCCTTCTGGGCCTTCCTGGGCCTTCCTGGGCCTTCCTGGGCCTTCTGGGCCTTCCTGGGCCTTCCTGGGCCTTCTGGGCCTTCCTGGGCCTTCCTGGGCCTTCTGGGCCTTCTGGGCCTTCCTGGGCCTTCCTGGGCCTTCCTAGGCCTTCCTGGGCCTTCCTGGGCCTTCCTGGGCCTTCTGGGCCTTCCTGGGCCTTCCTGGGCCTTCCTGGGCCTTCTGGGCCTTCCTGGGCCTTCCTGGGCCTTCTGGGCCTTCCTGGGCCTTCCTGGGCCTTCCTGGGCCTTCCTGGGCCTTCCTGGGCCTTCCTGGGCCTTCCTGGGCCTTCTGGGCCTTCCTGGGCCTTCCTGGGCCTTCCTTGGCCTTCCTGGGCCTTCCTTGGCCTTCCTGGGCCTTCCTGGGCCTTCCTGGGCCTTCCTGGGCCTTCTGGGCCTTCCTGGGCCTTCCTGGGCCTTCTGGGCCTTCCTGGGCCTTCCTGGGCCTTCCTTGGCCTTCCTGGGCCTTCCTGGGCCTTCCTGGGCCTTCCTGGGCCTTCCTGGGCCTTCTGGGCCTTCCTGGGCCTTCTGGCCTTCCTGGGCCTTCTGGGCCTTCTAGGCCTTCCTGAGCCTTCTGGGCCTCCTAGACCTTCTGCGGGCCTTCCTGGGCCTTCTGGGCCTTCTGGGCCTTCCTGGGCCTTCTGGGGGCCTTCTGGGCCTTCTGGGCCTTCCTGGGCCTTCTGGGCCTTCTGGGCCTTCTGGGCCTTCCTGGGCCTTCTGGGGGCCTTCTGGGCCTTCTGGGCCTTCCTGGGCCTTCTGGGCCTTCTGGGCCTTCCTGGGCCTTCCTGGGCCTTCTGGGCCTTCTGGGCCTTCCTGGGCCTTCTGGGCCTTTTGGGCCTTCCTGGGCCTTCTGGGCCTTCTGGGCCTTCCTGAGCCTTCTGGTCCTCCTGGACCTTCTGCGGGCCTTCCTGGGCCTTCTGGGCCTTCTGGGCCTTCCTGGGCCTCCTGGGCCTCCTGGGCCTTCCTGGGCCTTCTGGGCCTTCTGGGCCTTCCTGGGCCTTCTGGGCCTTCCTGGGCCTTCTGGGCCTTCTGGGGGCCTTCCTGGGCCTTCTGGGGGCCTTCCTGGGCCTTCCTGGGCCTTCCTGGGCCTTCCTGGGCCTTCTGGGGGCCTTCCTGGGCCTTCCTGGGCCTTCTGGGCCTTCCTGGGCCTTCTGGGCCTTCCTGGGCCTTCTGGGCCTTCCTGGGCCTTCTGGGCCTTCCTGGGCCTTCCTGGGCCTTCCTGGGCCTTCTGGGCCTTCTGGGCCTTCTGGGGGCCTTCCTGGGACTTCCTGGGCCTTCCTGGGCCTTCTGGGCCTTCTGGGCCTTCCTGGGCCTTCCTGGGCCTTCCTGGGACTTTTGGGGCCTTCTGTCCACCCATCACCAGGTCCCCCAGTATATCCATCTAACCAGTCCATCCATCACCAGGTCCCCCAGTACATCCATCTAACCAGTCCATCCATCACCAGGTCCCCCAGTACATCCATCTAACCAGTCCATCCATCACCAGGTCCCCCAGTACACCCATCTCACCAGTCCATCCATCACCAGGTCCCCCTGTACACCCATCTCACCAGTCCATCCATCACCAGGTCCCCCAGTACACCCATCTCACCAGTCCATCCATCACCAGGTCCCCCAGTACACCCATCTCACCAGTCCATCCATCACCAGGTCCCCCAGTACACCCATCTCACCAGTCCATCCATCACCAGGTCCCCCAGTACACCCATCTCACCAGTCCATCCATCACCAGGTCCCCCAGTACACCCATCTCACCAGTCCACCAATCACCAGGTCCCCCAGTACACCCATCTCACCAGTCCATCCATCACCAGGTTCCCCTGTACACCCATCTCACCAGTTCACCCATCACCAGGTCCCCCAGTACACCCATCTCACCAGTCCATCCATCACCAGGTCCCCCTGTACACCCATCTCACCAGTTCACCCATCACCAGGTCCCCCAGTACACCCATCTCACCAGTCCACCCATCACCAGGTCCCCCAGTACACCCATCTCATCAGTCCACCAATCACCAGGTCCCCCAGTACACCCATCTCACCAGTCCACCCATCACCAGGTCCCCCAGTACACCCATCTCACCAGTCCACCCATCACCAGGTCCCCCAGTCCACCCATCACCAGGTCCCCCAGTACACACACCTCACCAGTCCACCAATCACCAGGTCCCCCAGTACACCCATCTCACCAGTACACCCATCTCACCAGTACACCCACCTCACCAGGTCCCCCAATACACCCATCTCACCAGTCCACCCATCACCAGGTCCCCCAGTACACCCATCTCACCAGTCCATCCATCACCAGGTCCCCCAGTGCACCCATCTCACCAGTCCATCCATCACCAGGTCCCCCAGTACACCCATCTCACCAGTCCACCAATCACCAGGTCCCCCAGTACACCCATCTCACCAGTCCATCCATCACCAGGTCCCCCTGTACACCCATCTCACCAGTTCACCCATCACCAGGTCCCCCAGTACACCCATCTCACCAGTCCATCCATCACCAGGTCCCCCTGTACACCCATCTCACCAGTTCACCCATCACCAGGTCCCCCAGTACACCCATCTCACCAGTCCACCCATCACCAGGTCCCCCAGTCCACCCATCACCAGGTCCCCCAGTACACCCATCTCATCAGTCCACCAATCACCAGGTCCCCCAGTACACCCATCTCACCAGTCCACCCATCACCAGGTCCCCCAGTACACCCATCTCACCAGTCCACCCATCACCAGGTCCCCCAGTTCACCCATCACCAGGTCCCCCAGTACACACACCTCACCAGTCCACCAATCACCAGGTCCCCCAGTACACCCATCTCACCAGTACACCCATCTCACCAGTACACCCACCTCACCAGGTCCCCCAATACACCCATCTCACCAGTCCACCCATCACCAGGTCCCCCAGTACACCCATCTCACCAGTCCACCCATCACCAGGTCCCCCAGTACACCCACCTCACCCGTCCACCCATCACCAGGTCCCCCAGTACACCCATCTCGCCAGTCCACCCATCACCAGGTCCCCCAGTACACCCATCTCACCAGTCCACCCATCACCAGGTCCCCCAGTACACCCATCTCACCATTACACCCATCACCAGGTCCCCCAGTACACCCATCTCACCAGTACACCCATCACCAGGTCCCCCAGTACACCCATCTCACCAGTACACCCATCACCAGGTCCCCCAGTACACCCATCACCAGGTCCCCCAGTACACCCATCACCAGGTCCCCCAGTACACCCATCACCAGGTCCCCCAGTACACCCATCACCAGGTCCCCCAGTACACCCATCACCAGGTCCCCCAGTACACCCATCACCAGGTCCCCCAGTCCACCCATCACCAGGTCCCCCAGTACACCCATCTCACCAGTACACCCATCACCAGGTCCCCCAGTACACCCACCTCACCAGTCCACCCATCTCCAGGTCCTGCGGTACTCAAACATGACAAGAGAGGAGATTGATGATGGCCACAGAACCATGGTGGAGAACTTCGCAGACGCCTACTACAAGAATGACCTGCGCCTCGCCTACAGGATGTTTTTGCAGGAGGGTTCCTCTTGGGCAGAGTCCGCTCCTGACCTCTACCCCCCGACGACGACACAAGAGGTCAACTTTCATAACAACGGCACAGAGGTCTTGCGAGGCATTAACCGGTACGTGATGGAGTGGCTGAAGGCGGTAATATTTCCCCCGTTTATGGCTTGGTGTTGGGCTGAAGTCCTATCAACCTCTGTACAGTTATTAAGACCACTACAACAGCTTACTGACCAACAAGCAAGTATACTTTACTCCTGAACGTAGTCTCTCCTCGTAGCTCTTGTTTGACAATTCCGGAAGCCATTTGGCGGTATGCCTTCGTACCTTCTCCAGTTTATTTATGTGCTCCTTGAGATATGGGCACCCTACAACGAGTGCATATTCCAGATTTGGTCTCGCAAAAATTGGGAACAATTTCTTTAACATTTCACATCCACGTATTTAAAAGCTATTCTAAAGCTAGAAAGTATAAGCAATGTGCTTTATGTGTTCCTCTGGTGGCAGCCTATTGTCCACAACCATCCCTACATCTCTTCTTTAGTCAGTGTTCAGACATTTTGCATTCTCGGAACATCTATAACCTCGGGGTTCTATCTTTTTTTACTTGTCCTATTTTAAACCTACAGAAGATATACTGGGAGCCTCGCATTGACTAGGATGTCGTGTAGAGATATTCTTTTCTTCCAGGCCAGCATCGGGGTGTCGACAGGAAACAATTTCCTTATAGTGAATTTCCTTTCATCAAGGCCCATAAATCATTGAGTTTGATCCTACAAGTTTTCGTTGTTGAGGGTAGAGGGCAGCCATGCCCAGTCTTGCTATAGTTGTTGATGGTAGAGGGCAGCTATACCACGTCTTGCTATAGTTGTTGATGGTAGAGGGCAGTTATACCCAGTCTTGCTATAGTTGTTGATGGTAGAGGGCAGTTATACCGAGTCTTGCTATAGTTGTTGATGGTAGAGGGCAGCCATACCCAGTCTTGCTATAGTTGTTGATGGTAGAGGGCAGCCATACCCAGTCTTGCTATAGTTGTTGAGGGTAAAGGGCAGCCATACCCAGTCTTGCTATAATTGTTGAGGGTAGAGGGCAGCCATACCCAGTCTTGCTATAGTTGTTGAGGGTAGAGGGCAGCCATACCCAGTCTTCCTACAGTTGTTGAGGATAGAGAGCAGCCATACCCAGTCTTGCTGTAGTTCTCACAGTCTCCGTGGTGTAGTGGTAAGACACTCGCCTGGCGTTCCGCGAGCGTTATGTCATGGGTTCGTATCCTGGCTGGGGAGGATTTACTGGGCGCAATTCCTTAACTGTAGCCTCTGTTTAACGCAACAGTAAAATGTGTACTTGGATGAAAAAACGATTCTTCGCGGCAGGGGATCGTATTCCAGGGACCTGCCCGAAACGCTACGCGTACATGACACTAGAAAGAAGACGAGAGAGATATCAAATAATATACACCTGGAAGATACTGGAGGACCAAGTACCAAATCTACACAGTAAAATAACAACGTACTGGAGTAAACGATATGGAAGAAAATGTAGAATAGAACCAGTGAAGAGCAGAGGTGCCATAGGCACAATCAGAGAACACTGTATAAACATCAGATGTCCGCGGTTGTTCAACGTCCTCCCAGCAAGCATAAGAAATATTGCCGGAACAACCGTGGACATTTTCAAGAGGAAACTAGATTTATTCCTCCAAGGAGTGCCGGACCAACCGGGCTGTGGTGGGTATGTGGGCCTGCGGGCCGCTCCAAGCAACAGCCTGGTGGACCAAACTCTCACAAGTCGAGCCTGGCCTCGGGCCGGGCTTGGGGAGTAGAAGAACTCCCAGAACCCCATCAACCAGGTAACCAGGTTGTGGGACTCCTCTTGTATCAATCCTCCAGTTTTATACTGTATTTCCTCTTATCACTGTGCATGTGATGGAGGGAGGGTGTGTGTGTGCTTGTGAAGCTGCGGTATTACAGTACTGTGTATCATGTGTCATAATACAGGTATCACAATGTTCTCTTTCTGCGCAATATAACAATAGTCTGATATATTTATGAGAAAATCATTTGGAGTGTGGCGATTGTTGAGGGTAGAGAGCAGTCATACCCAGTCTTGCTGTAGTTGATGATGGTAAAGGGTAGCCATCTTCTTGAGGTTATCTTGATATGATTTCGGAGCTTAGCGTCCCCGAGGCCCGGTCCTCGACCAGGCTTCCTTTTTGTTACACACCCCCGGGAAGCAGCCCGTAGCAGCTGTCTAACTCCCAGGTACCTATTTTTACTGCTAGGTAATAGGAGCATCAGGATGAAAGAAACATTTTGCCCATTTGTTTCCGCCTCCATCGGGGATTGAATCCGGAACCTCAGGACTACGAATCCGAAGCACTGTCCACCCAGTTGTCAGGTCAGGCTGGATATGTTGCTGGGTATGTATACTGGGTATGACGGTGCCATACCCACTCTTGCTATAGTTGTTGAGGGTCGAGGGCAGCCATACCCAGTCTTGCTATAGTTGTTGAGGATAGAAGGCAGCCATACCCACTCTTGCTATAGTTGTTGAGGGTCGAGGGCAGCCATACCCAGTCTTGCTATAGTTGTTGAGGATAGAGGGCAGCCATACCCGCTCTTGCTATAGTTGTTGAGGGTCGAGGGCAGCCATACCCAGTCTTGCTATAGTTGTTGAGGATAGAGGGCAGCCGTACCCACTCTTGTTATAGTTGTTGAGGGTCGAGGGCAGCCATACCCAGTCTTGCTATAGTTGTTGAGGATAGAGGGCAGCCATACCCACTCTTGCTATAGTTGTTGAGAGTCGAGGGCATCCATACCCAGTCTTGCTATAGTTGTTGAGGATAGAGGGCAGCCATACCCAGTCTTGCAACAGTTGTTGAGGGTCGAGGGCAGCCATACCCAGTCTTGCTATAGTTGTTGAGGGTCGAGGGCAGCCATACCCAGTCTTGCTATAGTTGTTGAGGGTAGAGGGCAGACATACCCAGTCTTGCTGTAGGAATTCGGTGCTATGTTTCTCCGATTTGATCCAGTCTCTTGACTGTCCAAAGTTTCCTTGTGGTATCACTTCAATGTCTCCCATGTTTTTTTTTTTTTTCATATATACAAGAGTTGTTATATTCTTGTAAAGCCACTAGCACGCATACCGTTTCGGGCAGGTCCTTAATCCTATATTCCCCGGAATACGACCTGCCAAATCGTTTAACAACCAGGTACCCATTTTATTGTATGGTAAACAGAGGCTACAGTTAAGGATTTGCGTCCAGTAAATCCTCCCCAGCCAGGATACGAACCCAGGTCAAAGCGCTCGCGAAACAACAGGCGAGTGTCTTATCACTACGCCACGGGGATTTCAAAGGGCACCTGTACATGTTAGGTACCTAAACACTCACCACATAAGTGAGTGTTACAAGCCAGGAGAAGGTCTCCTGGCTTGTAATCTTCATTCCCAGAGATGCAGTTCACGCAGCCTTTCCTCATAACTCTTGCCTCTTAGTTCTGGAACTAACCTAGTGGCATACCTCTGAAGTGTCTCTCATTCCCAGAGAGTATAACGTGGGGGTTTCTTCAAGGAGATTGGCAGACAGGACGATTAAAGAAGATACGAATGTAGATTGTAGTCCTAGTAGAGTAAATGTAGACTATCTTCTTCTGTAGGTATCTTGTCTTAGCTAAGTGTACACAGGTGTCGAGGAATGATTGTTCTCACATTGTACAAACATTCCACACATTGTACAATTGTACCGGAGATGTCATCAATGTACCTGTAATAGAAGATGGGGGGGGGAGTGAGGAAGTAGTTAGTCATAATACTGTGGGTGTTGAGTGTAGTGAGGGCCCAGTCAGTCATAATACTGTGGGTGTTGGGTATAGTGACTAGTGAAGGTGTGTATGGATGGTATCTGAAGGAGTGACGTCTCGTACAGATGGGTGACGGAGGTGACCACGGTGGATGTGGGGGCCCCACTGATGCAAACGCCCACCGTCCAGGTGGACGCCTTGGGGGCCCTCCGGGTCTACTACTCGGGGCGCTGGCTCCACAGGTTCGACCCCAACCTCACCTTCGACAAGGGCCTCTTCTACATCACTTCTGAAGAAAGGTAATTTTTTTGGAATAAATTTAATAATTGATTTTAACGAACAAAAATAGCTTTATAAGATTTTATTTCGTTAACATAATTTTGTGTTGAGATACATCAGCAGTCAATAACCCGGGAGTAATGCAGGTGTATTGACCATTATTGACCCTTTCTCATCCAACTATGGTGTTGGGGACTGTCACCAGGACAGTCACCAGGACAATCACCAGGACAGTCACCAGGACAGTCACCAGGACAGTCACCAGGACAATCACCAGGACAGTCACCAGGACAGTCACCAGGACAGTCACCAGGACAATCACCAGGACAGTCACCAAGGCAGTCACCAGGACAGTCACCAGGACAGTCACCAGGACAGTCACCAGGACAATCACCAGGACAGTCACCAAGGCAGTCACCAGGACAGTCACCAGGACAGTCACCAGGACAATCACCAGGACAGTCATCAAGACAGTCACCAGGACAGTCACCAAGACAGTCACCAGGACAGTCACCAAGATAGTCACCAGGACAGTCATCAAGACAGTCACCAAGACAGTCACGAGGACAGTCACCAGGACAATCACCAGGACAGTCACCAAGACAGTCACCAAGACAGCCACCAAGACAGTCACCAGGACAGTCACCAAGACAGTCATCAGAAGTCATCAAGACAGTCACCAAGACAATCACCAGGACAATCACCAGGACAGTCACCAAGACAGCCACCAAGACAGTCACCAGGACAGTCACCAAGACAGTCACCAAGACAATTACGAGGACAGTCACCAAGACAGTCACCAGGACAGCCACCAAGACAGTCACCAAGACAGTCACCAAGACAGTCACCAAGACAATTACGAGGACAGTCACCAAGACAGTCACCAGGACAGTCACCAAGACAGTCACCAAGACAGTCACCAGAACAGTCACCAAGACAGTCACCAAGACAGTCACCAAGACAGTCAGCAGGACAGTCACCAAGACAGTCACCAAGACAGTCAGCAGGACAGTCACCAAGACAGTCACCAAGACAGTCACCAGGACAGTCACCAAGACAATCACCAAGACAGTCACCAAGACAGTCACCAAGACAATCACCAAGACAGTCACCAAGACAGTCACCAAGACACTCACCAAGACAATCACCAAGACAGTCACCAAGACAATCCACAAGACAGTCACCAGGACAGTCACCAAGACAATCCACAAGACAGTCACCAAGACAGTCACCAAGACAATCCACAAGACAGTCACCAAGACAGTCACCAAGACAATCCACAAGACAGTCACCAAAACAGTCACCAAGACAATCACCAAGGCAGTCAGCAAGACAGTCACCAGGACAGTCACCAAGACAGTCACCAAGACAATCCACAAGACAGTCACCAGGACAGTCACCAAGACAATCCATAAGACAGTCACCAAGACAGTCACCAAGACAATCCACAAGACAGTCACCAAGACAGTCACCAAGACAATCCACAAGACAGTCACCAAGACAGTCACCAAGACAGTCACCAAGACAATCCACAAGACAGTCACCAGGACAGTCACCAAGACAATCCACAAGACAGTCACCAAGACAGTCACCAAGACAATCCACAAGACAGTCACCAGGACAGTCACCAAGACAATCCACAAGACAGTCACCAAGACAGTCACCAAGACAATCCACAAGACAGTCACCAAAACAGTCACCAAGACAGTCACCAAGACAATCACCAGGACAGTCACCAAGACAGTCACCAAGACAGTCACCAAGACAATCACCAGGACAGTCACCAAGACAGTCACCAAGACAATCACCAGGACAGTCACCAAGACAGTCACCAAGACAGTCACCAGGACAATACTTGGTGATTGTGTTGTGGATAATTGTTTGATTATGCCACTGTGTTGTGGTGTCAAGTGACACCTTGTTATTGAGTTGTGGTCACAACACAGCAACACAATGGGAGAATCAAACAATTATCCACAACACAATCACCAAGTATTGTCTTGGTGACTGTCCTGGTGACTGGAGCCCCACACACGCCCACACTCCCCACTACAATTTTCCATTCTCCTTTCTCGCATCGTGGAACTAGGTGAAGCCCCTTTCCTCAGTACTCTAACATTGTCCCGTGTGTGTGTACCGTGTACCGTGTACCAGGTTCCTCAGTACTCTAACATTGTCCCGTGTGTGTGTACCGTGTACCAGGTTACCTTACCTTGAGGCTACCTTGAGGTGCTTCCGGGGCTTAGTGTCCCCGCGGCCCGGTCGTCGACCAGGCCTCCTGGTTGCTGGACTGATCAACTGGTTCCTCAGTACTCTAACATTGAAATTGAAATTGAAATTGAAATAAGTTTATTGAGGTAAAATACACACAAAGGGATGAGGTAGCTCAAGCTATTCTCACCCCGTTCAGTACAACGTGTTAGTACATACATAGACACACATCACAAGCAATAAACCTGTTACCAAACATTCTGAGAGATAAACATGTACATTTCCTCCTTCACAAGTGGTATGGTATCAGACGTACACAAATACTTTTATGACCTAGTTATACGGATAATTCAACAAAATATTACAGTCTTGGTGCAAAATTCTTATATCTCTCAAGAATATCGTCAACCTTTCCTTTGTGACACATCCAGGCTATTTGCTCAGGAACAGTCCTTATCTCAGTGTTTCTATATACATTAATCAACGGACAATCAAGAACATAATGGGCAAGGGTGTGAGACCTTAACATACCACATAGTTTACACTTCGTGTCATTATCATGAACATCTATCCCATATTCCCAGTAATATTTGTACCCAAGCCTGAGCCGCATGTACACAGAGTCACTCCAAGCATTTCTCCTTTTACCATAAGTGAAATGGGTGTTTTGACTCACATACATGTAGTGTTGCATGGTTTGACTTCTCTCATACATTATCTCTCTCCTCTCCACTCCTGCCTGTGCCTGAATATTTCTGATTTTGCTTCTTATTTGTCTCATTGTGAATTCACATTCAATGTCAACTTGTGGTTTTGATGTGGCACGTTTGGCCAAGTCATCCGCCACCTCGTTGAGCACTATTCCAACATGAGATGGAATCCACATGAATTTCACACTATGACCTTTCAGCTGTATCTCAGTTATTCTTCTCTTACAATCCTCAACTATGAACATGAAGACTGGGTTTCGACTGTTTAAGGACTCCAGTGCTCCTCGGCTATCGACAAATACAAAAACATTTTTGTCGTCATGACGTACTTCCTCCAAACACGCCAGAATGGCCTGCAGTTCAGCTTGTGTGGATGATATATAATTACTAAGCCGGAGTTCAATTATTCTGTCCACAGTCCCAAACTCCGTATATTCCCTTATTAGGACACCACACCCGGCCCTGCCATCCTCCGCCACCGACCCGTCGCAATATACATGTAAACTGTTGCCTTTTGGTAACCGAGATATCATGCTTCCATACAAACACCGTAATTGTCCCGGTTCATGATGAATCTTTTTCACCTTGAGGGGTACAATTTCGACGTCTATTTTCTGTACTTTCCAGGGAGCAGACATATTACCCTGTCGAGAGGGTTTACAGCAGTCAAGTACATCGTATTCCCTGAGGTCATGAGCTAATCCCCTCGTGTAGCGTGTCTCCCTCAGTTTCCTGGAAGTGTGTACGTCACTCAAGCAGGTCTGAACGCTCTCAAACAACTTATCCCCTCCTTTTCTCCGCATGAAACGAATAGCTACTCTAGTGTTAATGTCACGGACTCTATCACACACACTCTGTAAATTTAATTCCATTCTCATTATTTCAATCATTGCATTTCTTTGACATCCAAGAATAATCCTCATAGCCTCGTTCTGTATCAGCTCTAACATTGTCCCGTGTGTGTGTACCGTGTACCGTGTACCAGGTTCCTCAGCACTATAACATTGTCCCGTGTGTGTGTACCGTGTACCAGGTTCCTCAGCACTATAGTACCGTGTACCGTGTACCAGGTTCCTCAGCACTATAACATTGTCCCGTGTGTGTGTACCGTGTACCAGGTTCCTCAGCACTATAGTACCGTGTACCGTGTACCAGGTTCCTCAGCACTATAACATTGTCCCGTGTGTGTGTACCGTGTACCAGGTTCCTCAGCACTATAGTACCGTGTACCGTGTACCAGGTTCCTCAGCACTATAACATTGTCCCGTGTGTGTGTACCGTGTACCAGGTTCCTCAGCACTATAGTACCGTGTACCGTGTACCAGGTTCGAGATCCCCATGATGGTGGGCCGTGTGCCGAGGGGCAAGTTTATTGGGCAGCGCCACTCATCTTGTGAGTGGACACACTGCCATAGTGACAGTATTGGGCAGCGCCACTCATCTTGTGAGTGGACACACCACCATAGTGACAGTATTGGGCAGCGCCACTCATCCTGTGAGTGGACACACTGCCATAGTGACAGTATTGGGCAGCGTCACTCATCCTGTGAGTGGACACACCGCCATAGTGACAGTATTGGGCAGCGTCACTCATCCTGTGAGTGGACACACTGCCATAGTGACAGTATTGGGCAGCGCCACTCATCCTGTGAGTGGACACACCGCCATAGTGACAGTATTGGGCAGCGCCACTCATCCTGTGAGTGGACACACTGCCATAGTGACAGTATTGGGCAGCGCCACTCATCCTGTGAGTGGACACACCGCCATAGTGACAGTATTGGGCAGCGCCACTCATCCTGTGAGTGGACACACCGCCATAGTGACAGTATTGGGCAGCGCCACTCATCCTGTGAGTGGACACACTGCCATAGTGACAGTATTGGGCAGCGTCACTCATCCTGTGAGTGGACACACTGCCATAGTGACAGTATTGGGCAGCGTCACTCATCCTGTGAGTGGACACACCGCCATAGTGACAGTATTGGGCAGCGCCACTCATCCTGTGAGTGGACACACTGCCATAGTGACAGTATTGGGCAGCGCCACTCATCCTGTGAGTGGACACACCGCCATAGTGACAGTATTGGGCAGCGTCACTCATCCTGTGAGTGGACACACCGCCATAGTGACAGTATTGGGCAGCGTCACTCATCCTGTGAGTGGACACACTGCCATAGTGACAGTATTGGGCAGCGCCACTCATCCTGTGAGTGGACACACCGCCATAGTGACAGTATTGGGCAGCGCCACTCATCCTGTGAGTGGACACACCGCCATAGTGACAGTATTGGGCAGCGTCACTCATCCTGTGAGTGGACACACCGCCATAGTGACAGTATTGGGCAGCGCCACTCATCCTGTGAGTGGACACACTGCCATAGTGACAGTATTGGGCAGCGTCACTCATCCTGTGAGTGGACACACCGCCATAGTGACAGTATTGGGCAGCGCCACTCATCCTGTGAGTGGACACACTGCCATAGTGACAGTATTGGGCAGCGCCACTCATCCTGTGAGTGGACACACCGCCATAGTGACAGTATTGGGCAGCGCCACTCATCCTGTGAGTGGACACACTGCCATAGTGACAGTATTGGGCAGCGTCACTCATCCTGTGAGTGGACACACCGCCATAGTGACAGTATTGGGCAGCGCCACTCATCCTGTGAGTGGACACACTGCCATAGTGACAGTATTGGGCAGCGTCACTCATCCTGTGAGTGGACACACCGCCATAGTGACAGTATTGGGCAGCGCCACTCATCCTGTGAGTGGACACACCGCCATAGTGACAGTATTGGGCAGCGTCACTCATCCTGTGAGTGGACACACCGCCATAGTGACAGTATTGGGCAGCGTCACTCATCCTGTGAGTGGACACACCGCCATAGTGACAGTATTGGGCAGCGCCACTCATCCTGTGAGTGGACACACCGCCATAGTGACAGTATTGGGCAGCGCCACTCATCCTGTGAGTGGACACACCGCCATAGTGACAGTATTGGGCAGCGCCACTCATCCTGTGAGTGGACACACCGCCATAGTGACAGTATTGGGCAGCGCCACTCATCCTGTGAGTGGACACACCGCCATAGTGACAGTATTGGGCAGCGTCACTCATCCTGTGAGTGGACACACCGCCATAGTGACAGTATTGGGCAGCGTCACTCATCCTGTGAGTGGACACACCGCCATAGTGACAGTATTGGGCAGCGCCACTCATCCTGTGAGTGGACACACCGCCATAGTGACAGTATTGGGCAGCGTCACTCATCCTGTGAGTGGACACACCGCCATAGTGACAGTATTGGGCAGCGCCACTCATCCTGTGAGTGGACACACCGCCATAGTGACAGTATTGGGCAGCGCCACTCATCTTGTGAGTGGACACACCGCCAT